TTTAGATATTGTATTCCAAGTAAAAAACGTAAATAGAATAGTAAAAAATGGCAATAAAATAGGTTTAAAAGGCCTGGTCTTTTTAAAAAAAAAAAATTTACACAAAAAAGTACCATATTTAGCATTGATTGCAACATTGTGTGCAGGCCTTCAGCTAAAGTTCTGCTGCGTCCTGTGTGATGTAAATTTTGTCATCAGTGGATGTACGCAAGGCGCCGTGCAGACATCCGTGTGCCCGCTACAGCTACAGCTCCTCCAAGCGGACCTGTATTTGCACTTTTTACACAAGGCCTCAAGACACGTTTGCAGATTATTTGTTTATTTAGTTTTCGCACTTTCTTCACCTTATTAGCACCTTGGTCACATGAAGTAATTATGACACCAGGCGGAGTAAATTCGAGGCAACTGGGAAAGAGGAAATCCATCCTCACAAGGATCTGCCAAGATTTATTTTTTTTCCTCACATCGCACAGCTTCAGTTTCATTTGCACTGCCTCAAGAACATTCTGGCAGATTCCTAGGTTACACCAGACTGCATTCTTTGCACATTTTAAATGGCCGTTTGTGCTTCATTAACATTTTTGCACAATTTGCAAATTTTTGTGAAATTCTGAAAAAAAGCTTCTTTTTTTTTCTATTTTGTCTACTTAAACACAATTTTGCTCCTCTATGATGCAGCAGCAGCCTCTGCCATATGGTAGGACTGGGTAATAATTAAACATTACTGTTAATGGACTGTCTGTGGAATTGTATTGCGATGATATGATCATACTGTGTAATCGTTTTATAAAGTTTTATTATCTAATTGTATGATATTCAGCTAACTATATTTAGCTCTTTGTTTTACATATGTAGGGTTTTTCTGATCTAATGCATACAAATGAAATGCAGATGAACATCAGTTTCAACCACTGACCTGCCCATCATCTGCAGATCACCTATGACTAACACAAGCTTCAAAGCCTAATGATAGTCACTTTCACACCTTAATAATAATCACAGTCATCTTAAAACCAAGCACAAATTTAGGAAGCTATTACAGAGACTTCAGGGTAAGCGTAGTTAGTCCTGTGTTAGTGAGTCCTAGTTAGTGTTCTTGTGAGTACAAGCGGTGACGGTAAGATACTGAATGATGAGCCCTAATGCCTCCATTTTCCCTGCAAAATGGATACAAAGCCATGGGAATTTATTCCCTGAAAACATCGCAATGCAGCTTGTGATGAAGTGTAACTAAACAGCTCTAATGAGATCTTTTCATGGCTAATTAAAGTGTAGAAGTAGTGTGTAATAACTAGCTGTTTTTCCAGCTCAGCCTGTCAGTTTTGACCAACTATGACAAGCAGGTTTCAGTGATTTTACAAATTCCTCCCTCTCTGTCCTGCTAGTTATATCTTGTTGTCTGCCCTGACAGGATAGCGGATAACGCAGTGTGCTTCCAGCTGACAGAGTGAATGCCTGAATCTCCTTCTGCTACATCTCAGTTATCAACCTAGCCTGAATTAGTCAGTCATCTCACTCCAGCTTTCTGGAGTGCAGCACGTCACTTGTCAAAACCCATCCACGATAGCTTGAAGCTTGCTACCACACACACACACACACACACACACACACCCTAACACACACATACTGACAAAGGCAGATGAACAAATGCGTACACAGTCACACTTCAGGCAGGCAGCCATCACCTGCAGTAGTCTGCTGCTCATTTTAAATGGCATCGCAAGTTGCACAGCAGGGTGCAAAACGCCAGCTCTCAAAAGGTTAAAAAAAAAAAAAAATGGAAAAACAATTATGCTCATGGTGACTTATAATCTCCCACTTTTTTTACACACACACATATATGTATATACTTTGGGAATGAGAGATACAGCACGCCACTGTTTGAAGGCTCTATGTCAGTGATAAAAGGTGCGATGTACATACAAGTTGTTTTTGAGAGTCCTGACACACAGCTATCAGCAGATTTTTCAAACGACACTGATTTGTTAATATTAAAATTATCCTTATTTATGCCACGTCTTTATTGCTATTTCTTAGGCTAGTAATATTATATGCACAATTTATTTTACAAGAAAAATGTATCTAGCCCCTCTTATGCTCTTTCTAAAATGTGTCATGTCATGCACCCTTTTTTTTTTTTTTTTTTTTTTTTTTCCCCCTTTTTTTTTTTTTTTTTTTTTTTTTTTGCCCCAATTTCTATCTAGTATGTACAGTAACTACCACTGCACTGAGATCTAATTCAAATTGAATGAAGGGACAGAGAGTGTGAGTCTACACCCACAGTCTGTCCAGAGGCGATGTTTGACGTTGCTTGTTTAAAGCGGCATGACGGCAGAGCTGGACATCCATGATCTGATGCTGGAGAGGAAGGTGGTCCCGCTGTGGCCTGTACACACATCAGTTTGGATGCTCCAGTCTGATGTGGTGTCTACAAGGCTGCAGCCATGCTGGGTCACGTATACACAGCACTCGGTAGGATCCTGAGCGTCAAGTCTCAGGCTGTGTGTTAAGGAGCTGCCCTCGCTCTCCTGGAAGGTCAGCCTTGCTGCACTTGAAAAGCCTCATGTGTGCATATATGCGTTCGACGGCCCTGCCTGCCTGGCCGACTGCTCGCCCGCCTGCCTGCCCGTGTGTCAGCTTCTAATGATGAGGATGATGGAGGGAATCAAAGAGGAGATGGAGCTGACGTTAGGGCGAGCTCTCCATGGGACACCAGGTGATTGGGGAGGGAGCTTTGAAGCAACTTGTTGGATGGCTGTCCATTAATGTAAAATATCTCCTTTTCAAAGGGCTTTATTCAAGCTCGGAGTAGCGGAGCCCATAGGGGTCAAGGTGTCTGGCAGAATAATCTCTCTCTCTCACTTTAGAGAGAGAAGCAGAGATAAAAGAAAGGATAGTGCACAGTGACCTGGCCATCTCCTTAGCCATTCCTGGTGTCATGTTTTCAGAAATGCCGTCGCAAAAGGAGAAAAGTGCAGCAGACAATCCTTGCAGTGAGCGCTCTCTGGTTACATTAAAAGAATTTTATACATGCAGGCTGCCTGTATGTCAGGCTGAGGTTGGAGCCCGAGACTCAGCCCTCTCTCGTCTATTTGATCTGCAAATGTTATAAACCATGCTTTTTGATCACTTGGATCACTATTTATTTAGTTTGGTCAGGGATCAGTGTGACTCCTGGCACATGGAGCAGCAAGCGGTTCTCACATATCAATTTTCTCCAGTAACCGTGAACTGCGGAGGGACGGGCAGAATTTTATCCACCAAGTAGCAGGTTTATGAATAGTGAATTATGGCTGCGTAAATCGCTCCATCCGTTTTAAGTTACCACGATTACAGTTACGGGTCTATCTGGGCTTATGAGAGCGACAGTAAGAGAGGTTACAGCAAAACTTGAGTAAGAGTCAAAGATCACAGTGCACTCATCATATGGTGCGACAATCCCTCATGTCTCATTCAATGAGGGAACAGGGAGACACAGATGACACGCAGCAGTCCAGCCCGCTCATGACCCCTATTAAATCCGAGCAAATCTTTGATATGTACTTTGATACCATATTTTATTGATACTGAAGGGGTGTTCATAATATCAAGTACAGTTCTGCATTCCAGGAGATCAGAGCAGGGGCTGTTTTGTCTCAGAAGCCGTCCCGTGACCCTTGAGGGGTCCCCGTAAGATCTAATACAACTGAACCTAGGTCGACTCTAGTCCACTATAGTTTTTACAAGAGATTGTGATCTATGGGCTCTCCATGTTATATCTGTCTACAGTTTCTCTCTCATGCGCACACACACATGACCCCAGTGATCAGTCTACTAGCGATCACTTAGTTTGGACCCACTCGGATGTTGTTAGGCAACAAATGCGGTGCATTCGACAGGTCCCGTCGAGCGTGGCGCTCCATCACACGACATGGTGCCACATTTGCCACCATCCACTGGTGCAGTATTTTTTATTATCCACATTTCATCGTCATTTCATCGCATTTCAAAAACCTTTCTGGTGCACACAGTGACCGGTATCAGTTTAAGAGTATTTTTCTTTTTAAGAGGATTTTTTAGTAACATAAATGGGATCAGGAGCAAAATCTGAGCATCTCCAAACACACATACAAGCACTCAAAGGCTCCAGCCTCTGATCTGACCTGACAACTCCTAAGCTACCATTTCCTCATGCTGCTTAACTCGGACCACATTTCTTCCCGAGCCTCTCTCCTCTCACTCACTACTACTCTTCCCATTCCATCCCTCTTTCTCTCCATTCCTGCTGCCCAGCATCTGGTTTGAATAAAGCGGCGTGTGCTACTGTGTTACTGATAGAAGTTGGGACTGTAGGCTTCTCTTTGATTTTTTTTTTCATCCTCCTCATCTCTCTTCCCTCCCAGCTCATACAATGCATTCGTTGAGAGAACAAAGTTGAGTGTACAGCCTCTGTTTTGTTGATTTGTGGCATACTGTGTATAGATGAACCGCAGTCAAGGGAAAGTGTGCTGACTTATTTTGTGCCTTTTTAATATGTTAATGTTTCATCTTGATGCAATTTATTCCAGATTGGTGTATGCTTTGTCAATTTCCCACCTTGATTACATAGATTTTGTGTCTGTAATGCTGTATTTATTTTTATGATCATGCTTAATGGCCAATATCTTACATAAAGGGACACTTCCTTGAAGGAAATTGCATTCTTTGCAAATTTTTCAATTATTTCTTCGGTGAATGTTAGTGGTTTGAATTCATGCATTTTTTAAAAAAAAAAAAATACACGCACACATAAGGCAACCTCTCATGATAGTTTTTTATTAATCATTTTATGTTGTATATTCCTGCTTCAGTAGTCACATGGTACACTGACAGTAACCACACTTGCTTTCAAAATGCATAGTTTTGAATCTGAAGCTTCACACAGTGGGAATGAATGAGCTTCTTTATTAGTTACTCCAAACTGCAAGCATTATATTCAATAATCAGCATTTCTGTCCATGTTTTATGTTTCTGTGCTGCAGACAGAGGCCAGGGAGACCATTCCCAGGATGCTCGCGGAACTGGATCTGGGTCGGACAGAGAAGTGTGTGAGGGTGAACTCGGTGTCCAGTGGCTTAGCTGAAGCTGACCTGCAGGTCATCCTGCAGGCTGAGGTTCTCCCTCCAGCCATCATGTTACCCAAAGTGGAAGACGCTCAGGAAGTGCAATGGGTAAGGTACAAGTCAAAGTACTCAGAATGGGATAATTTAAAAGCCAGAACCACATGTGACAGAAAAACAAACACAAAACAAACAAGCAAAAAAAAACACACATGAAAAAAAACTAAATAAGACTAAAAATACACAAGACATCTCTCTCTTTCACCTCTGGATGTCTTTTAAAAAACACAGTGGTGCTCTTATGCAAACTCATGAAGTAATAGGAAACCCACGGAAATCTTCAAAGCAATCATAACAAACTTTTCCATATATTTCCCAGTAAAAGTGGGAATCGATCCCTGTGGCAGGACTCAGGGACAGACAGAGTGTTTTTCTTGGCTGCAGCTCAAGAAACGGACGACATTTCTTCGGATTAGCTTCAGAAGCCCGATAGCTTTCTGTAACAACACAAAGGTGCCTTTAGCCACTGCTGGAATTACTTGAGACTGCCTTGAACAGTGTCATGTTGTGACTATGAATTGATTTAATCACAGTCAAAAGTACTCAGCCAGACAAGGTATATTGAATAAAAAAATATGCAGCAAACATGCATTGCATTCCATTCTTTATGCTGGAAATCTATTTCAACTGTCCACACATTTTGCAAAGTCCAAAGGCAATTGTTCCAGTTACTGAGGTTCTAGTGATGAGAAAGATCACATAGACGTGTCACAAATTAATTGACCAGATTTGACATCAGATATTGCAAATTTTGCTCTCCTGCAGTGGTTATTGTAATGATTGTCCACTAATATTATTCCCATTCTGTGTTCTTATTAATTACCGTTTGCAATTTGTTCATACTAACTTGGGCCTGCGCCCTAGTTAAGAGGTGTTTGCCTGGGCTTGGCCATCCCTCTGGCTTTCTATAAAGGGGCGCTGTACGGATGTCAGGTCCCGAAAGGTCAGGAGACAGTGACATCATTAATGCAGGCCTTTCTGATCAGCTCCATATGGTTCACTTACCGTGAGGAACCTGGCTGCCGTCTGCCTCCTTTACTGTTGGTGTGTGTGAATACAGTTGTTGCTGATTAAGCAAGAGGAGAAATTAAGATTTGTTTAGAGGTCAGAGAGAGAGAGAGAGAGAGAGAGAGAGGGGAGTTATCAGGGGTGATGGGAGGGTGTCGAGTCTACACGTGCACACATACAGTCTCTCACACACACACATGCATATACATACGTGCGTGTGTGTGTATTATAAAATGTATACACATAATATACACTCAGACGTGGTCCTGGGCAGGAGCAGGAAGTTTTTAACTAGTGGTTTTAATTAGAACACGTCTATTTCCTGCTGCCCTTTCTTTCTTCCTTGTGTAATTGCTGACAGGTGTTCACTAATTCTCTCCCTCAGCTTAGCCCTTTTTCTCCTTGTGCTACTTTTTCTCACTTAAAAGACGGCACTTTAGTTCTGCATGAAATATTTTTTAAAAAACCATCTCCTGTTGTTATCATGATTATCATGATTATTATTTTTAACACGTTGAGAGCTTTAAAATGTGGATAATTGCTTGGCTGGATAATTGTTTTTTTTTTTTTTTTTTATACCCTTGCTTTGTGGCAAGAAATACTTTGTGTTTATTTTAAGTTTCTTGAAGTCAGCCCTTCATGTTGCTGCGTTTCCCTTCGAAGTGTGCTGTAAATCTGTTTTCACATTTGATTTACAGTGTGTTTTGGCAGTGTGTTACTGCTTTGCGGCAGGTGCATGTGTGCTCCTGAAACAAAGTCAAGTTTGGAGCTCTGGGCCTTGATTCTTTCATGTATGCCCATTTAATCTTATCTTTGTCCCTCCCTGCTTTTGCTGTGTCTGCTTTGCACATGCTTCTCTGTGCATCTCTCTCTCTCTCTCTCTCTCCCTCTCCCTCTCTCACTGTCTGTGTGTGTGTATTCATGTGTCAGTGTTGTAAGCATGTGTCAGATTTTTTTTTCCCACTCTTGTAAGGCTGTGCAGTAAATCCCTCACTTGTTTATTTTTCTCCCTTTTTATTGATATTAGCACAGGAACCTCCGGACTGATTTGTTGCTAAAAGATGGACTTGCTTGTTTCCCTTTGTGTGGAAATCTTTAGCTCTGCCTTTCTCTTCTCCCCCAGCCCTTGTGTGACTGACAGGCCTTATTGGGCTATAACAGGCGTAACTCCCTCCTTTGTCTGAGGACAATTCTCACACAGATTCGGAGCCATGTGCATTCTTTGCCCACCACACTATTTGGTGTGCACTGGGACCAAAAGAATCGCACCCTGTCCTGCTCCTCCTCCTCTACTCCTCCTCCTGTCCCCTCCCCTCATCCCTTTCTCCGCTTCCCCTCTGTGAAATGAACACTTCAGCAGGCCGGAAACATTTAATCTGGCCCCCTTTTGAAGAAAATTAATTGAAACTTGTCCCACTATAGCCTCCTTTCTCCAGCTCCATCTCTCCCTCCTTCTCTTTTCATGATTGGGTGGTGAAATTGTCAGAGGGCTTGTTTGTAGCGTGGCTTTGAATGGCAAAGGAGAGGTGTTATTTCTTCTTTTTTCTTTTTCTTTTCTTTTTTTCAATTCAGTAGTGAATAACATCTTTTAAAGGGTCCTAGTTGTGAGAGCCATTGGCAGCTAATGGTTGCTGTATGCACCAGAAGAACAATGAACGAGGACTATAGCAGCTCTTATGCAGTGTAAATCAGGCCCTCAAAGTGTATAATAGCTGAAGAGGAGAATACAGCAGAAGGACAGAAACATGTAATCAAAGAGCCTTGGAGGCTTTTTAGCCGGTGGTGCGGCATTGAGCCGTCATTTGTTTTCCTCCAGCAGAATCTAAACAGCGCGCTCGGCTCGCCGCAGCCCTGTCAGGGTTTGCGTGGCACCAGTGTCGTGGTGGTAATCTCTGTGTGTAACATCAGCTAGGCAACATACACCTAGTTTCCTCTGTCACAGAAATAGGTTTATCTACACCCTCCTTTCACACTCCTTCTCGGACACCCCCCCCACCCCACCCTTTCCTGTGTTTGCGAAGGAGGAGGGGGGAACGGGGGGTTGGGGGGGGGGGGGGGATTATGCTAAGCCCCCAGCGTTAGTTTTTATGTTGCCATAGCAGCCTTGCTCCCACAGGGTTGTGACCTCAGATGATTACAGTACAAAGCCTATTGGGTCTTGAAAACCTCTTTGAAGATGAAAAGTCTTTGATGGTTTGTATTTATGCAAATCTCTCAGATATGATTTATCCAACTGAGATTGAATGGAGAGATGATTAAAATTGCCCCTATTTTTGAAATCCTTCAATGGAGGCCCACTCTTTCAGTGTCGAGAACAAGAGTGGTGAGTGCGAGCGCGGGGGTTATTTTGCTCTTCATTTAGAAAAATAGCAGTGCTGTACCTGAGGTTATTTATATCTGTCTTTTTCCTGGTGTGTCAAAGAGGGAGTGAGAGAAAGGAGAGGAAGGGGGGACATGGAGTTAGACATTTCTACTCTGAGCTTTTTTTAACTCGCTTTTTTTTTTTTTTTGGTCTGGCTTTGAAAGGAAATATCTGACGAAGGGGGCTTTTGTGTGTTTCCAGATGATAGATTTAGGAATTTGGGCTACCCCACTGGCAGTCCAGGGCTAGCTGTGAACTGGTCTGTTGGAAAAAATTGGAATGCTTTGGTCTTCAAAGAATTAAACTTGGTTTTAAAGCCCTACTTAGGTGAACTTGCATATTAGCAGGAGTCATGCAGAATAAAGGCCTCAGCAAAGTGTCACATCATACTCTGATTGTTGCTCCAGTCTCCCTGTTCCCTACCATGGAGGAGGAGGAGGAGGAGGAGGAGGAGGAGGGGGTGGGCAAAACAGAATAATGTAGGAGTAAAACACACTCACAGAGATCCCAAATCTTGTTTCTTCTCCCCTTTTTTTTCGGGTTTTTGTTTCTTCTTTGGTTTGCCGTGTGCATGCATGTGCTCGCACATGCACGTGCGCATTTACATGAGTGCACACTCTCTCAGGGGAGCACATGCTGTAGCTGCGCAGAGCCTCAGAAGGAAGGTAGAGCAGAAGACTTCAGACGATGGGGGAACCCTGGTGATAATGTAAAATATTTCATTTCACTCGCTTTTGTTGCTGCTCTCCTGTGCTCGCTTTTCTTGCTATTTGAACCCTCATAGATGTGTCTCTGAATAAGGACTGCAGTGGGAACAGTGTAGGTAATAAAGGTGTCAAGATTCGTATCAAAAGTGAGTTTTTTTGAACAATAAGATTCCTTTTTTTTCTCCTCGGTCTGTCTTACCCCACAGTGGATTTTGAAAGATGTGTCATATCGTTTACCATTGTTACTGCTGAACATTTTTTCTTCCAGTTTTAAATTCACTTTGACAAAATCGTTCAGTATCCCAGTGTGAGCTTCCTGTTTTTCTCCTTCATATAACTAATAATGTGTTGATTTAATCTACTGAGGGCAGCACTGACACTTTACCACTAAAGAAAAGCAGGAACTTGAACAGAAATATGATCTTCTAAAACATGATTTTTTCTTTAAGAACATTATCAAATGGATTCAAGCTGATCATGTTTTATAACAGCAAACGCCACAGAGAATATACGTATGTGCTCAAAACAATGCTCAAAACATCTAATGAATGTGACGACTGTGATTGCACAAAGTAGTAAGAACAAATTAATTCATTGTGGTTATTTGGAGGTTTATTGTTTCCTATTCACAGAAACAGTGGGTGTTGTTAATGAGCTGCGCACGAGATTGTCCTTGTGTGTTAAGTTTGTTGACAGGTTTCAGCACAACTTGAAAGGACGGGCACTGACAGAACCCATTCGCCTGGTCACCTTTGTGGAAACCGCTGTGGGCCTGCTCAATTTTAAGGTAAATTACAAACAAAACCCCCCAAAAACTGCCTGCCTAAGACATTTTGCTGTTTCTCCATTGTTCACTTTAGATTAAAGACTGCATCAGCGAGCGGAGCACTCCACGTGTCCAAAATGAAAGGGATTCAAAGCTTTCGGACAGTCTCTCAAAATGAGCCTTTTGAGCCTTTTTTTTTTTTTTTTTTTTTTTTTTTTTTTTTTTTGTTTCCTTTCTCTGTGACTGTCTGTCTGTGTGTCTCTCTCTATCCCTTTCCAGACACGCTGACATTTTTTAATTAGAACTGTTTTAATATCATCATAGTGGAAAAGTTCTTAATGATATTTTGGCAAGCATCAAAGCAGTTGCTGTTATAGTACAGCACGACCTTCAGCTACATGGGGAAAAGGGCATGGTTTTGAGCATTTGGGGAGAAACAAGCTGTCCTTCCTTCTTTTGATTTGTCGTTTAGTTCCCCACTCTAATTCTGTGACTGTGTTTGTGGTGGTGAGGGTGTGTGTGTGTGTGTGTGTGTGTGTGTGTGTGTGTGTGCGTGCGTGCGTGCGTGTGTGCATGTGTGTGTGTGCATGTGTGTGTGTGCATGTGTGTTTTGATGACAGGGGGTGCCTCTGTGTGCTTTCTTGAGAACACCCTGTATCTTTGCCCAGACTGAACCCCAGGTTACAAGCATGAAAAAAATCGCTCTGGCACAGCTAGTGGTGAAATTAATTTGGAGGCCAACAAAAGCAGGAGACGTGTTCTTATTGTTTCACACTCTTCACCACAGACAATCACATTCCAGATTTATTTTTTTTATTTTATTTTTTTTCAAATTTTGCATTCCTTACTGGATAATACTTGTGGCCAGTAGCTCATCTGAGCAGTAGGGCTTGTTATTATTTATTATTTGACATTTTTCAGTACATGTATCAATACGATTTCAACGTCTCTCTTTGAAAAACACGAACCAAATGTCCTGCAAAATCATTTTTTTTTCCCACTTAAGAAATGAAAACAGACATCTGTAATTAATATCTTAACACAAAGTAGCTGTACACTTTGCCTAAGTAAAATACAGTCTCTAATAAGCCAAAATGACGTTTAAATCGGGTAATATGTGGTTGTAAAATAAGCAAACAAAGCTAAAAGTCTGAGTTAAACAGGCAGGTCTGTACTTGACAGGATATACACTTTACTGCTATGGTTCTTAAAACGTATTGAACACCTTCATAACAGAGTGCCTTGGGCCAGTTCCTAACTGTGTTGGTTTTGCTGTCATGTATGTATCCTGTATGTGTCTGCAGATGACATATTTAGTGGGTTAGTACATTGATATCAGTCTTTATGGAAAGAAAGCTGGAATGAAGGTTAGCTTCTGATAGATATGGATTTATTGGGACGTTTGTTACAGATAATTTAATGTGTTGATGTCTGTTCTGGATGCTTTTTTCTGCCTGCAAAGGAATCCCAGTTTGTTTGAACTACTATATTATAATTAGATTTACTCAGCAGTATTTATGCCAAGATGTCCAACATTTTTTTCCCTCTTTGCATCCGTGTCACTTTCGTCAGCCTGCATTATGCTAATTGTACGTCTCTTCTCTCCAGGCGGTGTGCGAGGAAATCCGTCGCCTTGCTCCCAGGGCTGGTCTTCACCATGACGGCGTGGTGTTTGGCTCTGATGACTTCTGTGCCAGCATAGGTAGCTGCTACACCTTCTGCTTGACTTCCTCTGTCTTTGTTTGCCACACTTGTGATGCTCCCTCTTGCTCCCGCAGGAGTTGTGGCGTAGACCCAACAGATTGTATTGCATAGTAAAATCCAAAAGTTTAACAGCCAGTGTGTAGATACAGAACAGGTCACTCACTCTTTGCGTGTTTTTTATAAATACATAGACGACTGCAGGGAAGTAGTTACAAATGTAGTATTTTTTTAGGATGATTTGTGGATGTAGTAGAAGTTGAGGTGTCCTGAAATAATAAATCAGATGGAGGTGAAGACACCAAGTCCATTATATTCTATATCAGTACAGCTCAGAGGCAACCATTAGAAACAAGTATTTTCCATGGCCATGACTTATACAGTGAACTGAATTTATCAGCAAAATCCAGAGATTTGAGCTGACGGCCGGGAAGGTTTACATATTCTCTCATGACAGAAGAAACATTCAAATGTCAGATTTAGCTGTGTAGTTTGATATGAAAAGAAGAGAGACTGACATAACCTCCTCTCACCCTCACCTTATTTCCTTGAACATCAGCTTGCGTCTCTGAGATCGTGACTGACATGTGACCTAGTGTGCATGCTGTGTGGTAACCCCATCATTTTCCTGTAGGTGCCACACGGACTGAGGATGCCAGGGAGCTCCTTTACGCCAGGCAGAAGGTGGTCGTGACCACCAAAGCATTCGGGCTGCAGGCTATCGACCTGGTCTACATCGACTACAAAGATGTGGAAGGGCTGAGGCGGCAGGCCAGAGAGGGAGCTCTCATGGGCTTCACAGGTGAGCTTCCTCACTATTTGCATCTGAAACGTGCCCCTGTTCCATTCAGAAACATCCCTGATCTCAACACGTCTGTGTTAGTTTTCCAGTCAGTGTCTGTATTATATTCTTCACTCCTCCCTGTGGCACAGTCACAGACTTCCCTCAACTTTCTGTTGCAAGCAGCATTCAGACTATCACTGCTCCTTCCCTCTGTTACTGTGTTTTGCTCTTCTCTCTCATTCCAAATGAGAATATGAAATGAGTTGGTTGATAAATTATTTTACCTTTTTAAAATATTGCATAAACTGTGCGGATTCAGAACATCCCCTGGCTTTTCATTTGTTGTTGTTTGGAATATACTTGTATTGCACATCGTATTGATGATCTGACCTCAAAATGACCATTTTGCCTGTGGCTGCTTGTCTTTGTCTTTTTTTTAGCCCTTTCAGTGCTGCTGAAGTGAATTGTGAACAAAACTGCAGTCATAAATGCTTGTCTGACATTTCAGACTGCCATGAGTGGTGTGTGTCTGCACCGGTGTATGTGTGCATACCTGCTCGTATGCAAATGTGTAAGTGTGTGCAAGAATGATTAAAGGGAGTTATTAGCAAAGTGTGGTAGCATCTACTTTAACAGCGTGCTGTGTGTGTCTGTAGCCAGGCAACGCTTTCAGAATGTGTGTCTGTGTGTGTCTGTGTGTGTCTGTGTGTGTCTGTGTGTCTGTGTGTCTGTGTGTCTGTGCCCTGCCGGCTGCATGGAACAGACCACAGAAGGCAGGACAGCCTTTTCCAAAGTGGATATTTGACTCATTTTTTTTCCCTCCAACGCAGATGATACGTCCTGGTATTTTCACCCCTTGAAATCTGATAAATTCAAAATGAGACGTTTTTCCTGTGGAGTAAAACCACATCAACTACATTTCATAATATACTGTTTTGTTAACTATGCTGTAATGTTTCTTGTAATTTGTCATCCAATGTGGTATCACTGAAGAACACAACAGTGTCAGGCTTTAGTCAGCTCTCGCACCTCAAAGAAATGGAGAAAAATGGGCACTTGGCTCAAAATCCTAAAATCCCTGAGCACACTCTCCATGTTGCACCGGCCCAGACACACGTGTTACCTGCACTTCACATCATCAAAACATCTTGTAGGTGAGCCTCTTGCTGTCTCATACAGAAACTGATTTTCCAGGTGACCTCATTTGCCACCTCTATTCTCTGGTGTTGCAGGCTTGTGTGTGTGTGTGTGTGTGTGTGTGTGTGTGTGTGTTTATATCAGAATTACTCGGCTCTTTTCATGTAACTTAACATTTGTCTTTTTTGCAGTTCTATAATAGCATTTTTACCCAATGAAACATGACAGTTTGCTTAATATGTTTAGCATGGGGGGGGGTCTTAAAATGAATGCCAATATTTTAAATATAATGTTTTCTTCTGTTAATACTTGTGCAAATAGAAGTTGATCAAAGAAAGCACTCAGTGTTGTTTACATGTGGTAAAAGCTAATGAAGGGAAGCAGCCGCTTGATGAAATAAATGGGTTAGATTTGATATGGAAAGCACCATTCAAAGCACTGGATTAGTGGCTTACAAGCCATGGGCACTCTGTGCAGTATAATCTTAGTAGCTATTACTGGCCCGAATGTGCTTAAGCAATAATAAGGTGCAGCCAAAAGCTTCTACCTGCGCAGTAATTGACCTTGGCACTACCTAAGCCGCATACAGCACCCATTAGCACTGAGGACACTGAGAACGCACTGGTGAAACACAAAACACAAGCACCCGGCACTTCTTGCTGGCAAACAGGACGGTGTGAAGGCAAAATCCTGCAAAACACTGACATCAAATCTGTGGAGGAGGACTGTAATTAATTAGGAGATTTAATAGTGCAGCGTCTTCCTTTTATAAGCACCTTGTTTTATGAACTATAAACTGTGCGCTTTTGACTTAATGATCCCAGTAAATATGTTTGCCTCCCAGAAAATATAAAACGGTTCCACAAAATTCTCTGCTTTCAGGGAACATGTTTCACTTCCATCCCCGGGACCCTGCCCATCATTCGCCTGAGAGCACTTTGCTAAATAGCAATCCTCCAATGAGATGCCAGCACCACATGGCAGGCTGGGATTGGCTGGAGGGCATGAATGATGCATTTTAAGAGAACCAATGGGTTGTAACTGGAGGGCACCTGAATCACCCTGTTTGTTTCTTCGCTCTGTCATTCTCCTGTTGTCCTACACACACACACACACACACACACACACGCACATGCCGACACACGTACAGAGAGACCCCCTTACAGTATATTTAAGCCTGCCAGTTTCAGTGTGGAAACATGCTCCTGTCTTCAGCCCAGAAGTAAAACAGGTGGCAGAGGAGGGAATACACACTCCTCTTGCTTCATTCCTCATAGAAAGCAACACACACACACACACACACACACACACACACACACTGAGGTTGTTGAGTTGAAACAGAATACACAATATTCAGATAGAAAACGTAGGAGACCCAGAATACTCTTCTGATTTAAATACTGCCGACAAGGTGATGCACAGGCACGCGCACACAAACTCACACACACAAACATACGCACACACACTCTCACACTCATCTCCAGTGTGGCCCTGGGGAGTCCTCAGGCTGTTTGTCCAACAGAAAATGTGCAGTTACAGTCTGTCTGCTTCACACAAACAAACGCGCATCAGCAATCATGCATTCGTAATGACACACACACACACACACACACAAACACAAACACAAACTGGCTCTTGAACATATTTTGTAGCGTGCACACATCCCTTAAAGGTATCTATTTAAATTGCCGTTTATGAATTATGTTCTCTTGACAGTAATTGCTGGAGCACTTAACTACAGCGTGTTGATTGTGTAACTGTGGTGTGTGTTTTTCTGAGGTTAACTGGGGTGAGCGGAGCTGGATGAAGGGAGTGGATTCTCTCCTCCCCCTTTCCTCCCCTGTCTCGCCTCTCCTCTTCTCCTCCTCTCCGCTCCTTGCCTCTCCTCTTCTTCCCCCCCGCCCCATCTCCTCTTCTCCTCCTCTCTCCTGGGCCAAATTTTTTTTTTTTTTTTTTTTTTTTTTTTTGCTCGTGCAGCCCGCCTGCTCAGCCACCTTGAAGGATTTGTTGTCGGCGACAGAGCTAAGCCCTAAAGTGTCGAGTTCCTGCTGGCTGCCGCTGAGCCGTCGTTCTCACCAGACGTTTCATAACCTTAACTTATCACTACAAGTTTGATCTGCAAATGTACACGGGATTATGTCTGTGGCGTTCGCCCACATTTAACTGAGAGGGAGTGGGAGCAGGAGGGGGGGGGGGGTGGGGGGTGAAGATTGTGCCAGAGCCTTAACTCCATGTTGGGCTTCTGTTTCAGTTGGATACAAGATGTCATTTCTGAAATTGTCTGAGGGAAGGTGTGCCAATACTGAAATATTGGTGTATACTGAACATAGAAATCACATAGAACCAATATAGAAATGTATGTATAGAAAAGACAATGATTTTCTTCATATTTACTTGTTCAGTTTTTTGAATGAATAAAATGAAATTGGTTTGTTGTTTGTTTGCTGAATTACAGGTGTTTGGTTTTGTGTGATGTCCTTGGCATTTTAAAAAAAAAAAAAAAAAAAAAAATTTACTTGAGTGTGTGTGTGTGTGTGTGTGTGTGTGTGCGCGCTGTTCTAGTTAACTTCTGTCGCACATCGAAGTCTAACTAAGCGTTCAGCAAAGTCTCTCCTTGACAGCGGGGCTGCAAGGAGACAGCAGACACTCAGTATCCTTCATGATGTCACGATGTCCCTCTGACTCACTTCGGTGGCACTGAACATACTGACACATGTACTCACATATGGTTTAGTCTTCTGCATTTCCTGTTACTCTTGTCTCGTTTCTCTGTGTGTTGTTATTGCTCTCTCTAACGGGGATAAAGTGCCAGCAGCAGTCCCTCTCTCATTCTCAGACTTTTTCTTTTTTTCCATCCAGTTCTGTACAGAATAGTTTTCATTAGAAACAATTTCTTGTTATTATATGGGAGGGTGAATAATAGCTCTGTGCCAACAAGTAAAAACATTGTTTTTTCATTTATTTAATTTCCACTTTCTGTGTGTGTGTGCGTGTGTGTATGTGTGTGTAGGTAAACAGGTTATCCACCCAGGGCAGGTCCAGGCTGTACAGGAAGAGTTCTCCCCCAGTCAGGAGAGGGTCCAGTGGGCAAAAGAGCTGATTGCAGATTTTGATCAACATCAGAAGGAGGGCAAGGTAACATTAACATCCTCTTCCAAAAGATTTTTTTTTTTTTTAGAATTTAAATATTAATTTTAGCCTCTCTCTTGTAGTAATATTTAGGTCTAAAATAGATAAACATTAGCTCATTGCTGAGACAATTTATGAACAAACTCCAGGAATAAAAAGGAGTTTTATATCACCATGTATAACTTGAAAGACAGTTGTATTATTTGCCTTAAATTTCACTTTGTATGCAACTGCAGAAAACTCAGAAATACCTACAGCTGACTTGCTGCTACAGTTTGTTTGCAGTTGTTTACTGGATATTTCCAGTTATTTAACTGAAGCTACTACCTCATTTAAATGTTACTTTAATTCTCAAATAGAAGAATCAGTTTCTCCCAAAATCAGTTAGAGGAAACACTGGCCTCACAAAACATTTTTGTAAATCCTGTCACAAATTTAGAGGCGGGGGGAGACCCTGAATAATCTACAGGATTTTTTTTTTTTTTTTTTTTTTTGTATACAAAACTTTCTCAAGTGTGTGTGTGTCCCCAGCATTATTCAGTATCTGTGCTGACTGTGTGTGGAGATGACAGGGGTCTTTCTCCGCTCCGAGACTCAGACTGTTCCTTTGTGTATCCTCTCACACACCTCTGTAGTTCCAAAGAATACATACTGTACACCCCTGGGTGACTCTCAGAGACATCATAGGAGATGGTGGGGGGGAGCTGGGCAAATTAAGTGTACAATATTATTGTTCCTAATTTAGTGCATGGTTGGATCCTGTGTGTTGAGCTCTGTGGGCTATCTGCTGAGGTAATACACAATCTGCCCACACCTCTCTCCCTGCCAGGGCTGCTCCGACTAAGCATCGCCCGAGGGATTCATATCCTACCCATCCCTCTGCCGTTGTGTGTGTGTGTGTGTGTGTGTGTGTGTGTGTGTGTAATGGTTTGAACAGTGAGCAGGGTCAGTCTCTTTGTCTTACAACACGACAGGTGCTTGCTTTTCATAATTCTCACCTCTAGACATTGACTATATGGACCTGAGGTTTTTATTATTTTTTTTCCCCATTCATGGCACTGTTAAATGACACTTTACCTGATGTGTCGAAGTAGTATTTTCTTCCAGTACATTTTACAATTCAAACATTTTCTTTACTGAATTACATTTACCTCTGCAACATCCTGTTTGCGGCTTTGTTTCATAGAATTTATGACAGATTTAAAAGTCAGAAATTCACACTTTTTATGCTACATCCCAACACACACACACAACCACACACACACACACACACACACACACACACACACACACACACACACACACACACACACACACACAATATGTGTGTTATGATTTCTCTCATAAATTGGTTTGTTATGTTTTTTTTTTTTTTTCACACAGTAATCTACTTCCTGTGTCTGCCAAACATTCAAAGTGCAGTTACTGTGACTGCCTGGTCTAACGTTTCTCTCTCTCTGCTCTCGTTTCTGTTGCAAACCTGTGCAGGGTGCGTTCACCTTCCGCGGCAGCATGATTGACATGCCCTCGCTGAAGCAGGCACAGAACATCATAACGCTCTCCAACGCGGTGCCAGAGAAATAACAAGAATCCGGAGAGGAGACGGGAGGAACCGCACGGCAAACGGAAATGCTGCAGGTTCTCATGACAAAAAGTAGAAGTTGAAAAAACAAATTAACTTTGTTGCCTGACACAAGAGAACAGTGGGAATTTTGGTTTTAATTCAAGGTTTTAATCATTGTTGAAATATTTTCATTGAATTAATTTGTCATGGCAGTTGCAGTGAAGTTTTACTGTCACTGTACCCTGGGATGTGTTCAACAAAACAAACTCTGCACATAGCGAGGAACAACGGCAAACCTTTGGAAGCCGAGTGTGGAGGATTATTGCCCTGAGTGGACACTTTCTTGGCACTCTCTGCAGTGTGTGCGCCATCATGTCACTCTCCCGTGTGTGTGTGTGTGTGTGTGTGTGTGTGTGCGTGTGTGTGTGTGTGTGTGCGTGTGTGTGTGTGTGTGTGCGTGCGTGCGTGCGTGTGTGCGCGTGTGCCCATGCCTCCCATCTCTCCTAGGTCGTGATGAATGCTCTCTCATCTCCACGGTCCAGGCAGCTGGGCGAAAGGGTAAACAAACACAACAAGCCACTGTTGTGGCTCTATTCACTGGGCCCCAGTCTTCCAGTCAGGCCTCAGCCCCCTGCTCAGGGCCTGACTCACAAACATCAAAGTCCCGCTCACTGGAAAAAAAAAAAAGCCACAGATGGAAGTGCGTAAACTCACGATTTAGCGTTTTTGTGTCCGTCTCCTTAGTAAAGACACGCAGCTCACTCTGTGGCAGCTGTGAGCCTGTGGTCTTGATGGAGAAGGCGTGTGGCGTCAGACACACCATGACCTGTACGAAAAATAAACACCGCACACATACACACGCTGCAGCGGGATTCTCCACCTGAGCTCTCATTTACCACAACCGGTTCACTTGGATTTTTCAAGCTATTGTCTCTAGTGAGTTCCCTTCATTTTTATCAACAATGATAAATGGTCACATTCATAGAAATGACCTCCTGGACGAGTTCAGTAAAGTAGTTTGTTGTACTGTCACAAATGAAAGTAACAAAGGGGCTCTGTGGAGCGCCTGTGCACATCTGACTTCCAGAGACAGTGAAGTGGGTGTGATGTTGGAGTGAGACAGATTAGAGGCCATGTTGCTCCAGCAGACCAGGACCGAGGCTTTGTCTCTCTGACTGTGGATGGGAGGATAATTGGGGGGGTGTTGAATGGTTAATAGTGCCATTGGTGACCATGGTAATGAAAGGCACCATACCTCCCCTACCCACCTCATCCACTCATCTTTCTCTCTCTCTCTCTCCTTCTCTCCCTCTCTCTCTCTCTCCCTCACCTACTGTATGATCTATTGTGTCTGGGGCAGGACTGTGGTCTGTGCCAGGCCAGGCCAGACAAAAAGATCGAAACCACTCCTGCGCCCGGCCAAAGACTCGAACAGTAAGCTGTCTCTTTGGCATTTGGCCACATGTTTCTCTCACCCCTGGCTCACTTTTTCTGTCGTGAATTTACATGCGGCTTGTTTGTTTGTTTTTCACCCAAACTACTATTACACCCCGAGGTCGGTGGATAAAACTGCTATTATGGATTACTTTGATTGAATGAATCCACACACTGTATTTGGGCAGAGCCATTTTGTGACGGTCTGCAGAATAGATGCAATATCTTGAACTTGGATCAAGTAAATGGTAAAATATTTAAGAGATGTTTCGACTGCTTGTCATTCATAGAATGTGAGTAGTGTGTACTATTGCTGAAATGATAATATATCCTGTTTTTGTTTTGTCATTAAAGCTATGAGGATTAAACTTTACTGTGACTTTTTAAATTTAATTTATCATTTGTTGCAGCTAAATCTTGTTGCAGTCCAATCTGAAAAAAGTCAACTTTAATTCTTGCATGAATAACTTAAAGTACTGTCAGAGTTGTATTTTATTTGATCAAATAATTAAATCTGAATTTGACCTATTTCTTTGGAATATTTTTTCAAATCAAAGAAAAATAGCTTTTGTCAGATTTTTTTTTTTTTTTTTCAACATTTAATACTTTGGCATTAAAATGATATTTCCGTTTTTAAAGTTCTGACCCCTCAAATGTTTCACAGAATAATTCAGAGAGGCCTTGTTAGTGGAGCAGCACTGAAAGGCTGCACAGAGTCATTCACTTTCACATGGTTGTGAATATCCGGCTCAGCGCTGAACACAGGCTCCCTGGTAGTGGTGGAGGAGACCAGTCTGATGGGACAACTTGGCTTTTCCAAGCTGCTCTGCACCAACAGGTGTCCCCCCACAGACAGGAAGGGAGATCTCAAAGTGGAGGAAGCAGCTCAGGGCGCCCTGCAGAGACGAAGCAAAAAAAGGACAAGTACTCTTCTTCTTTTTCCTTCTTCTTCTTCTTCTGCTTCCTCTTCTTCTGCTACTGCATCTTCTTCTTCTTCGTCTTCTTCTTCTTCTGAGAATGATTAGGAGAAATAATTTGGCCAGCTTACATTTAAGCAAAACACAACATCCTCTGGGTGTTTATGTGCCACATAGGTTACATCATCTTTTTTTTCTCGTTCCACCCAATAATCTTGCATTTATTTGATTTCCACTTCCACTCACGCCTTTTTTTTTTTTTTTTCACCCCTCCCCCTCTCTGGATAAAGGTGAAGCAAACTCTGTCCTTTGGTCTTTACAGAGCTCGTTTCTCCCAGCTTCCGCTGCACCTCGACGAATTTGCAATTCAGAAACAATTGGGAAGAATAATAATAATAATAACATTAAAAAGTACAAGATTTCAGTGACATCTGTGTAGATTACAGGAATGCATCCCTGTCTGCCTCCGCTGTGTAATTCTACATGACATTTCTATTATGTGTGGAACTGATACAATCTTCAGAGTCCGCTCGGCGGTTTTATTTAAATACATCTCTCCGGTATTCCCTGAGAGAGTAAATTACAATTAACACGATTATAACCTCACAAAATTGTGACGGGAATCAATTAGGCTGCGAGCAGTACTTCATAGCCCGGTAATGTGCTGGTCGAGATTGCTTTCATAAATTATGAGGGACAGCGCAGGCGGAGAAAATGCATGTATGCAAAACACTGTCAGAGGAAAATTAAAACGAAATGTTTTACATATTTTTCCATTAATCTAAATGGGACCCGTGTGGCAAAGATGGTTTTATTCTAATTCCCCGCCCGGGGATTCCCAAATAATGACTTGATGTTTTAATAGACTTCTAATGACAATATATGACAAACTAATTGCAGCAAAAGATTATTCTAAAGCAATAATATACCTCGTTATTGTAGCTGCAGCACAGTTTGAGAAGTGTAGAGCCATTAGCAAAAAAAAAAAAAAATGGCTTGAAATACAAATGTGTGTGCAGAGCTGATCAACATAAAACATTTAGTTTACACTAATTAACTCTGTTTCAATATTTAGGAACATTGTTTTAAATAAATTAGAACATTTTCAGAGTGGTTCCATCTGCTGAGAAAATGGTGACAGGACCATAATAATCAGTTTTTTTAATTTTCAGCATTTCATGGCCCTCAGGCACACAACAAAATGTTTTCTTCTTTATCAATTATTGCGTTCAAAAATAATAATGGTAAAAGACTTTAAATGAAAAAAAGAAATGAGTTCTTTTACTTTCTTCTGAGATAAGCCTTTCTGCCGTTGTAGAAATGTTAAATAATTAAGATAGAAGAAAACGGACTGCACCTTTTTTTGAAATGTAATTTGAGAGTAAAATGTGGCATGTCATGTTTTTGAACGACTGGATTAATAGTAAAAAACATAGAAATCTTCCACCTTTTTACTTTTTATTTCACTTTGCTATGACAGGCGAGCGTTCTGTGTTCATCCAGTTATCAGCTATTTTATCCTGCATGTCAGAGGGATATGTGTTTGATATTTTCCCTCTGAAACTGCAGAAAACCTTTTTATTCGCCCACTGATGACAGGCGCATGTCCAGCCTCCCCTTTTTTATTCACTTCGTTTGCATGATATGAAATTCACCGCGGCCTGTCTTTGCTGCATGAGTGATCTGGCACATGTGGACCATTACTAACTTCATTTGAGGAGACCTTTTGTCTGAGTGTCTCCGTCAGCAAAAGCCAGTCCGAGGGGACAGAGCTGCGTGGCGTGAATCAGGATCAGAGATGTTAAACCCACAACTTTTTTTTTTTTTTTTTTTTTCCCTCTCCACCACTTTTATATCAGGACATGGTGTCTTTTTGATGCAGTACGGCCAAACACACCTATGCTGGCCTGTGATCATGATGTAAAGCTGAATGATAACACTTTTCTGTGCAAAATACATTTTCTACTTTTTTTTTTTTTTTTTTAACCACTGCAAATTTGCACAATATTTCATTCTTCACTCAAATATTGGGGCGCAGTAGCTGCAGCCCACCTGCCATAGGCCTGTCCTGAAGGGTGATGGGCGGGGAGGCGTCTATACATTGTATTTAATTTTAAGACTCTGCACCAAAGTTGTTGAGGCCTCTGTATTTAAAGGCGCTCTTGCAGAGTGGAGGGTCCAGACTGTCTGGGTGTGTTTACCTGGCGGATAAATATGATCTGCAGTTGGCTAAAGAAGATATGACGCAGCCTAATAAAACAGACCCACAGACTTTTAGGTTTGCAACATGTCACCCTGACTGTTGGCAAATTAATCATTATGTCGTCTCAAAAAAAAAAAAAAAAAAAAAGAGGAGTAGTTAGATTCTACGTAAAATAGTTAGGTAAAATATTTTGAGGTGACTTTACCTTCCTCCACAGCCCTCCTCTTGGCCTGACTCCCCCCAGACTCCTTTCTCCTTAACGGGCCCAGATCAAAGGCTCACCGGCCCCGGCGGAGACCACTAAAAAACCCGCCCGCTTTGTCTGCTGTTGGCAGGAGTGAGGAAGGGTGTCGGGGAAGGTGGGGGGCAGGGGAGAGGGGGGGGGGTGGGGGGGGGGGGGGCATGGTAATGAGACTCGTTACACAGCGACAAAAAGTCTCTGCAACTTTTTCGTTTTTTTTTACCTCAAGTGTCCATCTGTCGTCAGACCTGGCTCCTTTTTTTCTTTTTTTTAAGTTTCTCCTGTTTCAGCTTTTCAGCTTCACTGAAGCCAAAGTTTCTTGTTTTATTTCCAGCCCACTTTATCCTCCTAGTTTTTTTTCGTATTCACAGCTTCTTCAGTGGAAGGGACTGGCAGCTTTAAATCTGTCACAATATTCCGGAACGTCCCAGCGTAAGAAAAAAAAAAGCCCCAGTCTTGTTTGTTTGTTTGTTTGTCCTCTTGTTGTCCCTGAACGCACCAGACAGACAAAGTTTACGCGGCTGACACAGACAGTTTAAGGGAGAGAGAAAAAAAAAAAAGTAGCAGCACCTCATAAAATGAACATGTCTGAGGAGGGCCATACAGACGATGCACAAACCTCACACC